TCAAAGCAGCTTACAGCAAAATCAGATCTGAGTCAGGAACTTTCCAGTTCAAACAGCAGCCTCTTCTGTTGCACTTTCTTCAGTTAGAGGATGTGTTCACATGATTGTTTCCCCCTACTTTAACAATCACACATGTCTTAATGCCACTTTAGACCAAGCAGACAAAGGTTTGAGGTATAGGTGCAGTTTGATTTCCAAACACACATTTAAGCTTAGATATTTTGGGGGGAATTTCTGAGCTACACCTTTTCCAATGATTCCTTTCTTTATTGACAACTATCTGGTATTCCTTTATCTTCCCCAAATAGTAATTTGTGTCTATTCTACCATGCATATTTCACAGCTAATGCTAACCCATAATATAGATTGTTTAATTCTGGGTTGCTGTGATATGTGAATGCAGTTGCACTAACAAACCATGAAGCACCAAGATAGACAACCAATAGTTTGTTGTTGGGTTGTGAGCTGTTTAAATCATCAGTTATGTGCCCAGAACTTTGGGATGTTTTGTCAGGCTGCAGAGGCAACAGGCAGTGCTTTAACCAAAAACACAGCTACAGTCTGCATACTAGTACTACGGAAGCATTTAGGATGTAAAGAGGGAGTGGATGAAGAAGGGTGGGGTGGGGGGGGGAAGCATTTGTTCAGTTGTCACCCTGATGAACCCTGCATAGGACAACAAAGCTTGTCTTAACTAAACCTCTGATTACCATTATTTGTGCAAGCCATTGTTTCTCCAAAAACAGCAGAGATGCAATCTACTTCTTGTAGTCTCTGATTATGTGAAAGTTTACATTTACATTTATTTATTTAATTGGGTAAATGTTTGATTCTCTCTCCAGCTACTTTTTCGAAAAATAAAATCTGATGTGAAGAGGGTCATAGTTTTAGCTTCTTATCCACCCACTGGTTATGGACAAAATGTCATGCCATTATTTCTGGAATAGGGTTTACTTTAAAAACTAGAGTTTGGGGATGGCTGTAACAAGTCATCCTTGATCTTTTCTTTGCAACCCTTTCTCTTCGACACCTTTCTATCCCACTTACTCTTCCACGTTCATTCCTTTTCTTACACACATACATTCACTCTCTTTCAAGATGCTGAGATTTATAAGGCACATGAATTCTCTGGTGTGGGGATCATCACACTCTGTTGAAAAGGATTAAATTCTTCCCCCTCTGCAAATGAAGAGAAGGCGAAAGAGGCTCAGGGAAGTGCTATGTTGGTGATGCCACAGCCAAGAGTAAAAATTAATTTTCAAGACAAGGCAAAGCAGCCTGTCATGAGACAGCCCCATTCCTGACACCTGAGCTAGTTTCAAATGGAGGCTCTGAACGTCTTCCCTCTAGTGTTTAAATGGTCTCATTTTATAACCTTTTGTAAAGATGCCAGTGTGGGTGATGCAAACGCTCCCTGTTCATGACAGCAAAGAGCTTACAAGGCAGGTTTCTGCTTTTTCAAGACCTCTCTTTGATCTTTGGTGGGCTTTCTGCCTTAATATTCTTTGCATGCTCTGACAGTTTGTGTGTCTCTAGCAGCTGTGCCTCTCTAGGTATACATATTACTCCTTAACCACCATCATTATTTCTTGGCATTGTTTAGAATTACCTTTTCTACAGAATAGAGAATATTAATATGGATTCCCTTTCATGGTCGTTTTTTCATAGATTAATTTAATTGTAAGGTGTACTTTCACATGTCCTGTGAAGTGTGCCTCCTGTTCTGTTTTGCTACTGGTTGTTGTAGAGGCAATTACTATTGATTAAAATGTTTCCCAACGTTTTGCAAAAAAAAAAAAATACACAAAATGGCTCACAACACTTACTTGAACTGAATGGTATGTGGGATGGGATGTTTCTGTTTATTATGTACTGCACCTTTTCAGTATTTATGTTCCCAGGGGAGCAAAGTAGTGAGCAATAATAAGAGAAAAGCAGTAAAAATGAAAGTAGTTCTGGTTTTTTAAAGCCAATCTTGACGGTTCTTAAAAGTCTGGGAAAGCAGAAATGACTTTTCCTGGTGCCTAAATTAAAATAACAAAGGCATTAGGGTGGCCTCCCAGAGTGGGTATTCCAAAGGCAAGGAGTCACCACCAAATAGGCTCTCGCTCTGGCCACTGTTTACCGACTTCAGAAGAAACAAAGACTTCGAGAAAGGTTTCATATAACTACCTCAGCCTGATACAGCAAAAAGGAGTTTAACAGGGATTTAACTTGCTGTCTCCCACATCAGGTGACTTAAGTATGCATTTGTTGGTCCTAAAAAAGGAAGTGCTGGATTACTGCTGTGGAACATCAAGTTTTTATGTGTTTTGTTTTCTCCCAGACAACTAGATTATCATTGCTTGACTGTCCAAATGGCTGTATATTAAGCCTTAGTTCATTCCCAGATGAGGCTTAAACAGACTCTGCCTCATACATCTACCAAGAAGTTGGTATGAAATGCCTCTTTTCCCCATGTTGTAAAGGGTTCTGTGTGAGGAATGTGCCTTTCCCTGCACTCAGTGCTACAGAATAAGTTTGTTGATGCAGTGCTATTTATTTTATTTTTTTTATTTATATCCTGCCTTTTTCCTACAAAGGACTCAAGGCAGCTGACATCATTCTCCTCCTCCATCTTATCCCCACAACAACCCTGTGAGGTAGGTTGGGCTGAGAGTCTGTGACAGGCCCAAAGTCACCCAGTTGGCTCCATGGCCGAGCGGGGACTAGAACCCAGATCGTCTGAGTCCCAGTCCCAGCTCTTAACCACTACACCATACTGGCTATGGAGGCTTTGCTTGCACTAGTTCACCACAGATCAGTGCTCTGTTGAATCTGCCTTAGGCCACAGTGTACATCACAGCATCTATGCTGAAACTATCTCTGTTGGTATCATTTGCGATTGTATTTGCATAATTTACCCTGCACTTTTCTGAAGAACAAATTTTCCCATTAAAATTTATTATGATAAAAGATGGTGTGAACCCAGAAAAATGCCATCATAGCTTCTGTTATGTGTGACCCGCATCTTCCCACTCTTCCCCTTCTATTTTGTGCCATTCAACTGTGCCCAAAAGGTAACTGCAACTGTATGTGATGCTATTTTCAACCGGACTACTGGGTGGTGATTGGTGCCATTTCAGAAATCTACAACATAAGCTTTTGTGGGTTGTAAAACATACATTTATTCAGTGAATCCATCACTAAACAAGGATTTGAATTCAGATCTCTTAAAAGTCTAACACTATGCATTTGTTCCCAAAAACCATAGAGATTAGTCCCTAATGATTTTTTATTTGGAAGTCCTTGTGTGGCTTATTCTCTAATTCTGAAATATGGCATTTACTAGCATGTTATTAAATGCAAGGAAACCTGAGAATGCTGTCCAGAAAAAGACAAACTGTAGTGTACTGTACTGCCACAAATAACTCTTTCTGATCCACAGGCCAGCCTCACAGAACTTTGGGTGCTTTTCTGTTCTGTTTCTTTGTTTTTAACAATGAGAGCAAGGTACTGCCAGTTCTGACCTTAGTACTGGAAATCCTATTTCCTCACCCATAACATTGCCTATGGTGTGTATGCATGCAGACCCTGGGGGACAGAACTGGGGAAAAGGGAGGACGAGAGCTCTCCAAAAGGTTAAATAATTCTACTGTTTATTCAGTAAGACTCCCAACTCACCTTCTACGAGGCTTGCTCGTCTGAGAATATGCTTTTGCTTTTTGAGAAACCTATTGTGATGGCATTTGTAGCCCCCTTCCTTTGCTGCCACCTTGCTCCTCAGGATTTATTTTTTTTAAAAAATCCCTTCCTTGAGCTTTACTGCTCCCTCTCCCCAGCCCTGTCACAGCACAGATTATGCATTGTTCAGGGTTTGGAAATTTGACAGCCTGGGTTTGTCTCCACTCGCTTCCTGAGCTCATTAGTAAAGAGAAGCATGCTCTCTGGAAGAAGCAGAAGTGTCAGGATGGAGTCCCCTCAGCATTGCATTGAATCTGGGGGCTAAGCCAGTGTGGCGCTGCTGTGGCAGCCGTGGCCGTTTGTCTGCTGCAGCTCTCGATGGCGGTGGGAGAGTTGCTTCTTTGTTTTGGAAAAACAGTGAGATGCAGCAGGGTTCAGGGCTATTCTTCTGTCCCCATGTGCATGTGTGTGTGTGTGTGTTTTAATTTTCAAAAAGCCAGTGTTGGAATGGTGTTGGAATGAATAATTTGGCCTCTCACCTGAGCAGAGCCCAGAAATGTTCATTGAAAGTGGCTACGGGTGGTATAGAAATGCAATGTAGCATAATAAAGTGGCACGTTTGAAGAAGATGACCTGTTGTCCAGTCTACTTAGCTTCTACCACAGACATTCACTTCCTGAGGGAGAGTCAGTTATCATGATCGGAGACAGGACTTTTGTCACGCCCCTTTTTCCTTACTCAGGCTCAGTTGAATATTAATTCACCATATCTGGACCTTAACCCTCCTTTTCTCACCTTGCATGCCACCAGACCACTGTCCCTTTAGTGCAGTTAGCAAAACAGACGAAACAAGAAATCAGTTTAGTGGTTCAGTGTCAGATTGAAGAGGGAGGGTAGAAAATATCCCCACAGCAGCCAGCAAGCTCGTTTTCTTGTGTAAAGAGGGCCTCAAACCACCCGGGAATTCCTGGATTGTCTCAGGCTGTCGTGTGTGATGTCCATCATGCTGTACGAACACCATCTGTTCGGTATTATACTCTCAGTTGCCAGGCTACCTGCTCTGTGCTGTAACACTTGACTGCCTAGCTCTACGTTAGCAGCATTATCCCAGAAGTACTGAGGGGGAGGGGGAGGGAAGGGGAGGGGGAGGGAACAGTAGTCATGATTAAGCCATCTGCAAGCGAGGGGGAGGGGGAGGGGAGGGGAGGGGAGGCAGGAGGGAGAGTCAATCAGTCAGCAAGCCAGCCTGACAAGAGCCATGAAGCATCAGGCTTCTGATGCCACCTGCTGGTGTGCAGAAGGAATGTCACTCAAATGATTCTTACACACCTGCCACTCAATCTAGAGGCTGCCTGGACGTGGGTGGACTTAGAAGTGCACCTCTCCCCACCCGATATTCTGTACCGTGTAGAAGACCTCTACTCAAAGCTTAAGACGATTTCTCTGGTGCTCAAGGTATTATTAGCCTATACTCAGGTTCTCGCTTAAATTTTGTCGGGCTAAGAGGAGGAAGGGAAGAGGCAGAAAGTGTTCTCTAAAAGGCACATGCCTCCTTTCAGGCTGCTCTGCTCAGGGAAGCTTTGTAATTAAGTTTTAACCGCTTGGAAGAATTTCTGGCACATCTGTCCTGTATAACAATTGCCACTGGTTACACAAGGCAATGATCAGTATTGCTAAAAGGATTCTTTCCAGTCCTCTCTGGGAGTCCTCTGGCTGAGTCCTTTAAAGAGGAAATACGTATGTGGAAAAGGTCTGGGAAGTATACACATTTGCAACTTTCTTGCTCTGGTGGTGCATTCATTTCATAGAATCACAGACCCATAGTAGGGTTGGAAGGGCCGAAGAAGGCCATTGAGTCCATTGAGGGCACCAAGTTACACCATCCCACTCAGATAACTGTCTGTTTTCTTCTTGAATGCCTCTAGTGCAGAAAAGCATAAGATCTCTTTTGGCAACTGTTTTGTCTGTCTTTTATTTTGTACATAACGTAGAAAGCTTTCTTATTTTAGCATGTCTCCCTAGTCTCAGTTCATAATTCACTTTAGCTTTCCTGAATCTGTCCCTGCAAATCTTTACTGTCTGTTTACACTCTTCCTTTGAGGCTTGAACTCCTTTCCACTTCCTGTACATATTCTTCTTAGTCTTTAAGTTGTCACCTAACTTTTTGTGGAGTCATGAGGGTTTTTTTTTATTCTTTATCTTTGTTGGAATTAGCTGCTGTTGTGCTTTAAGAATTTCTTTTTTTAAGATTTCCCATCCCTCATGGACTCTCTCCTTTAGGGTGAGTTGCCAGGTGATTTTGCTGAACACTAACTTGATTTTTTTTTTTTAAATGGCCCTTTGAAGTCAACAATATGTGTTTGGTTGCAGCAGACATTTGCTATCATCTTAACAGAGAATTCAGGAATGGTGTGGTTGCTTTCAGGGAACTTGTGGTTGTTATTCCATCTTTGTTCTGGTAGCAGTAAGTCCTAGGTAGCTGTTCCCCTCATTCTTTTCCTCCACTTTCTGCTGGAGGAAGTTATCGGCTACACATGTGAGGAATCTCTTAGAAGGGTCCTGTTTGCCTGAAGGTGTCTCCCAGCAAGTATCAGGAAAGTTGAAATCACCCATGAAGACCATGTCATGTCTTATTGCAACACTGGATACTTGTTTTTCAAAGGTTCACTTCATTGCTTATAGAGTTCACTGCTTTAGATGAATGATGCCCCTCTAGTATCTCATCATTTTTTTCTGTTCAGTTTGGGCGTGGCTAATTCGAGCTCAGCTGCTCTCAGGTTTTCTTCTAAGAGGACAACTGTCTGCATCTGTCACATTTAAAGTGTGGGCAAATGTCAGGGAGAAGTACAAGCATCTTGCACTTGTTACAACTCACTGCCACTAGATGGCTTTCTCTGTCCATTTTTTCTGGATGGTTGTTTTTTCTGCTTACTGTAGCAGAGTCTTGTACTGGCTATGCCTGGGAATCAAAGGTAGGATTCTTGGGTTTAGTCATAATTTTCTTTTGGGGGGAGTGGATGGAGGTGTGTTAGGGGAGCATCTCCTTTGTCACTGTGGCTCTAGCACCTGTGGAGTAGGCCCCAGAGAGCCCCTATTTGGATGGGGGGGAGGGGGGATTTGAGCAACTGCCTTTTGGGGGCATCCATTAATCCTCTGACCCCCTCCAGTCCCAGGGTTTCCAGACATGCAACCTGGTGAGGTAGCAGAAGGGACAGAATCATTTGTACTCTATCTGTACTCAGTTGGCTCTTCCTTTTACTTGTTTTTTTGTTAAGGGTAGTAGTGACCATCTTTTTGCCTGGCATGGTGAGGGTTTGCTTTCTCCTCCTTCATTGTGGGGCCCCAGCATGGTTTGAAGACTCATCAATCAGTCCCCCAGTTTTTGGGGACCTGTTTGAGGACTCATGGGGTCATTGGATGACCAGTAATCACCTTCTCCCCCTTTTTCCCTCTGTGTTAATGGTGCTCTTACTTTGTTCAACCTCTTGGGTGCCATCTTGTCCTCACCTCCTCCTTTAATCCATTTATGTGGATTAATTTATGTGGATTAAAGTGCACACCCTTTAAATCTTTTTGGAATTTTTAAAAAAGCCACTTTCAGCTGGTCGGCTGTAATCATCCTGAGTAGATTTTACTATATGAGTAGATTTTATGTAGATAAACTGAGGATACATGATACTGTTCTGCTGCTTTATCAACTGGTCATTTACCTATAATAACAGAAATGAAACATGAGCCCTAAGTAGTCTTTTATGGTTACAGGAGTGCATTGGGGGTGTTGGCTGGATCTTGAACTTCTTGGGTTGCAAAGAACAACTGAGTTTAGCTTGGGGAAATCCTGATTTTTGTCCCCAGTTCTCTGGGCCATTCCTCCCATTCCTCTCTGCCTTTCTCTCCATCTACCTCTTCGCCGTTCTCTCCTATTCCTCAAGTACAAGAAAGAAAATAACCTGCAAAGATCATTGTTAGGCTTCAGAATGTCTTTCTTTTTAGAGTGTCTGTCAACTGTAATATTAGAAGGCATATAATCAAGTCAATTTGTTTGCTGTATACCCATTGCATGAAAAACATAAATGGAGTTTTAGGTGGAGTTCCAGTTGCCTGCACCACTATACTTACAGCAACTTAAGTTCCCACCCTCCTTTCTGAGATGCCTTTCCCAGCTCCTTCTCTAATTCTGGGTCATACCTGTTTTCCCCACCCATCTTACTTTCTGCTCACTATATTACATTACACTGCATTATTGCATTAATAGTAGGCTTGCTTCCCAAACAAGTTGCACTACCACACCATTAATTTCTCTCTCCTGCTAGCAAACACCATCAAAGTGGTTTAAATGGGGAGAAACTTGCAATATGATGTCCCACCCCTCCAGTCATGTATTAAATTAGAATCAGTTCAGAGCAGGGTCACAGGGATGGTAGCCAGATTGTGGGGGATGCCATATGAGATGAGCTGGGTCTTTTCAGCCTGGAGGAGACTCAGAGTTGCTCTTATAGTGATGTATAGGTATATGAATGGGTGCCACAAGGTAGAGGTCATGACCTGTTCCCCTGTGGTGGAGGAAAGGTGCAGTCCAATGGGGCAAAGCTCAAGGAACCAGGTTTCCTGTTGGATGTCAGGATGTACTTCCTGACCGTTAGGATCCCTGAGATATGGAATGGGCTTCCAGAGGAGGTGGTGGGAACTTCATCAGTGTGGGCATTCAAGGAAAGATTGGACAACCACATGCTGGGGATTACATGAGTGGAGTTGGGTGGACTAGATGGTCCAGGAGACCCCTTTTGACATTCTGTGTTTCTAAGTAAATAGTTCTAAGCCATTTAACAGATGGTTGATAAACACCAGTGTTTTTTAGCAAAAGTTAACACCTAGAGAATACCCAGTCTTTGACTATATTTTCTGCAGTCCACAGAAACCTACACTCTGCAGTTGAAAGAGTTAATGAATAAATGTTCAGAAACATTAGCTGTCACAAAATCTCTCAGAATGTGCAACGTTTTGTTGGAGCTTGCTCATTGGCTTCCAACCCACTGCAGAATGTTTTCTGTTGCCAGTAAAAATCCTAAGGGTGAGATCCTATGCATGTTTAGACAGGAAAAAAAGCCCTACAACTCTCAGCATTACCCAGCCAGCCATGATGATGGAGGCTACATGTCCCTCCCTTATCAAAGATTCAGGTATGTGGGAGAAGGGTCTTCTCTACAGTGGCACCCAGACTTTGGAACTCTGCCCCTGGAAACCTAGATGGGTTTCTCCTTGATGGCAATCATGGCACTTAGATGTCAAGGCAAAACTATTTTCATCTGGAGAACCTACAATATATTTGACAATTTTATTTTAAATTGGTTGTTTCTTTTAATCTAGTATTGATTTAAACTGTATTTTAAGCCCCTTTGATGTTACATTGTACATGTTGGAAAGATGTATAAATATGTTAGATTTTAAAAAGTCTAATTATAAGTTATGTCTAATCTGGACTGAAAGGCAACTCATAAATTTATGGACACAATATATCATAGGACTTTTCTGTTTCATGTTCTAGGACCAGCACACAGTGGGATTGTCTCGGTCCACAGGCCCCATGCAGGCCTCTGTGCCACCTAGCTCCAGTAACGTGGGCACCAGTCCTGCCAATGCCAGTTTCATGGCCAACCAGCCTCAAGCAGCCATTATGAAGCAAATGCTGATTGAGCAAAGGGCCCAGCTCCATATGATGGAGCAGCAGAAGCAGCAGTTTCTAAGGGAACAACGGCAGCAGCAGCAGATCTTGGCAGAACAGGTACTGTAGCCTTTTGCTCCGTATTACACAATACTCCCCAGCAACAGCTTGCCTTTCCTATAGTAATTGTAACCAAACTGTAATGCATGATGTATATACACCATCCTATACCTCCTAATCTATGGCAAGTGTAGTTAACTTGTTGCCCTTCAGCTATTTTGGAAGTACAGTTCTTGACCATTGGCTATGCTGGTTGGGGCTGAGGGGAGTTATAGCCCCCAAACCTGGAAGGCACCAAAGGTTTTCATGCTCTAGGACACTGGAGTTCCTGTGATTCACAAGCTGTTTCTAATAGTCCATACACAGGTTGAGGAACAGTTGAGAACAGCAGTATTGGTCCTGAACTTGATTTATTTTTGTGACAGCACAGAGACCATTTTGATCATGGCTGGATTACTGATACAAAGCCCTGGCCTCGGTCCCTTTTTTTTTCCCAGAATGTAGCACTATTAATTTTCCCTTTAAAAATGAGTAATTAAAGGGGCCCTTGTTAGTGGCCTGGCCTAGAGCCAGTGATTTTCATAATCTTGCACTGGTTTTAATAATTATGCTGAAACAAATTAAAAACTAATATGAGTTATGAATGTGCCTTGATTTGTAGACAAAATGAATGTGTGAAGCAGTCCTTTGAGACACCCCAGCAATTTCCATGCAGTTTGTGGTGGGATGGGGATGAGAACTACTGATCTAGAGGATTGGGCTTCAATGCGTGTGTGGGCCGTTGATATTTTTTGTCTATTTGGCAGCTTTGGAAGAACCATCTTCCTCTTAAACATGCTTCCATATACATACACTTCTAGAACTAACCAGAACTTTATGCAGGAATTCTCCAAGCCACCTCTGTGCACACTGTAAATGTGTCTCCTGCTTGCCTCTCAGTTCCTAGTCCACCTCACTGGAGGTGAGGCATCGAAGAGAGAAAGAAAAGTGTCACTGAATGGGAGGCTATTTCCATTAGGAGCAAACACCTTCATTTTCTGCACCTAAGCAAGTGTGCTGTCTGCAGACACACTGGATAATTTCTCACCATCAAACAGGAGGCCTTCTCTCAACTTTGTTTCTTGGTAGAGATGAAGAGCCAGGCATGCCTCATAAAGGAAATGGCATCTTCCATGGATTTTGAAACACAGGTGACATGCTGTATTGGTTTGCTGGCCTTTTTTTAATGTATTCCAGAAAGTAGTCAAAAATGAAGCAAGTTAGTCCCATTGGAATTGTTGGCCAGCTGACATATAAGTCTCATAGTTGGCTACTCAGAGCAACAGTGCTGTTACTCAGTTAATTTTTCAGCCAATCAAATCTAGATTTTGTCCCCCTGTGTTGATGGGGGAGCTATGGATCTTATGCTTTGCTTTTGATAGTAACTTCTCCACTGCTATGGAGCTGGGTTAGGTTATTTGAATAGGATGGCACAGAGTTCCTCTTGGACTATAGAGAGTCTTTATTTTGTGAGGCTGTGGTAGAGTGAATAGATTTGTCCATGACTGCTTGATTACATGGGTCAAGAGAAGGGAGTGATCTGGCAAAATCTTAAAATTAGCTCAGAATACAGCATAATATAATCTGAAGAGAATGAGTTTTTGATTCACACTTGTGGTATCTAGAGAGGATGTTAAAGCTTGGGTGGAAGAAGAATCTTGTGCAAACAGCTGGGTTGTTAATTGATGTTTTGTTATTGGGAGGTAGAGACTGTTGAATCAGCTGAACTGTCAGGGACTTCAGGGCTGGTGACGAGTCAGGAAGCTGTTAGGGTGACATCCTTGAAATTCATCAGAAGAAGGTGATGGAGAGGTAGGCTTATTCAGGTCCGTATGGCAGATGAACCTGTATGTTCAGCTTCCGGTGGGTCTGATACCATGTCAGAGAGTATTGGTTTAGAGCATCCCAAGTGCAGAGAACAGGAATATGGCCATGGACTAGCCTTTACCAAACCTTTTTACCATGAAGGAATCCCTGAAATAATTTTCACATCACAGGGAACCCTTGCAAAAAATATTGTAAGGATAGACCCTGAATTGAATGTAAATAAGGGTTGTAAATTGATCTTAATTAGTGCTACTTAAAAACATTAAAATTATTAACAATGTTGAATAGTAGTTACTGATAAGAGAAAGAAAAGCAATGTGAATAAAAATATCAGCTAAGACCATGTTATTTTGAAACTAAAAAAGAGAATGAAATTTATTTCTTTCATGTGATACCTGTGCTTCTTTTTCGCTACATGAATACTAAATTCTGTGCTGAACTTTTAGTATCAAGTTGGGGAAGGTGATTTTGCACCACCTTCCAAAGTCTGTGAACCCCAAGATACAATAAAATATTTACAAAATGTGAGGGGTGTACTCACTTCTGTGATACACTGTACCTGTGAGAAGCGTCCACCAGTCAGGTGCAAAGGCAGCAGCTCCCTTCTCTTCTTTGTCACAGCGCTGCACCCCAGAGATAGACCACCTCTGCCCATGGAGGCTTCACCAGGGGCCCACCACTTACTTCTTCCACTGCTCACCAGCTGGAGCTTGCACTCTTCCACCTCAGTGGCCAGCACCCATCTGCAAATTGCAGAGGTGTGTGTGATGGAAGAGGGACATGAAATAAGGGCTGATGCCAGGCACACGGAATCACCACCATGCCACTCTCCATGAGCCCGAGGCAAACATTCTTCCTGCCCCAGCATCTTCCCTCATGGACAGGGGCTCTCCCTGGGCACCCTCCCATCTCCTAGGGCAAGTGGAAGGACTCTTCAGGGAATAACTCATGCATATGTTTATATTATAAACACAGATGCATGTGAATATGAAAACACAATGTGAAGACAAGATACATGTTCTCATGGATCCCACAGCAACCTTTTGGGGAACCCCAATTGAGAAAGGCTGGCATGGACATTGCAGCAGGTAGTCAGTAATCCTGTAACAGTTTGCTTCTTGGATGCACACTTTAATACAGGTGAGAGGGTTGATAGTGTCAGAGAATCTGAGAGCAATGCCACCGAAGCCAGATTCATTAGGTTGGTCTCTTAGTAGGGTCACCTTAGACAAAATGATCAAAGCTGAGGTACCAGACAAAGATACAGCCATGCTCTTAAGGAGTAATGGTCACATCAGCAGAAGAGAAGAGAATGGATATTTGTAATGGTTATGGGAGCAGAGAAACTCCTGAAGGGCAGCTACTGAGCAGAAGTAATTGAAGGCAACCCTGGCTGAGCATCTTTTGTTGACGATGGCAGTGAAGCTCAAACTAACTCTGGTTAATATGGCCCAGAAGGCAATGATACACTACCTCTGACTATTATTACATTGTAAACCTTATGTTGAAAGAACCCATAATGAAACAAGAGATGGTGCCAGAAGATGAGGCTCCAAAGTTGGAAGGCACTCAGCCAGCTACTGAGGGAAAGCAAAGGACAAGTACCAGTGACGCATCTAGATCAAGGTCAAAAGGAAGTCTAGTGACTGACATGCACAGAGGTGAAAGGAGAGGCTTACGCTGCATAACACATACAGCTGGAAAGTGAGAAGTATGAATTCAGGTAAACTGGAAATAGAAAAGCAAGAACTGGAACAGTTAAACTTCACAGTACTTATATGAGTGAACTAAATTGGACTGGAAGGGGCATTTTCAGCCAGATAAACGCAAAGTCTTTTACTCTAGAAATGACAAATTCAGAAGAAATGGAATGGTTCTGCTACCAAGGCAAGATATAGCACTGGCAGCAAGGATAATGCAATGACTGACCAATTACTATCAGTCAGAATTCTTGGCAAACCTATCAAACATGTTTCAACTCTGTGCTCCAACAACAAATGTCAAAGAAGAACTTGAAAACAGGTTGCAGGTGTCCTAGAAGAAACTGATAACACATCAAAACAGACATGCTGATAATCATTCATGACTGGAAAAGAAAAGTAGAAAACAAAACAGAATCCAATGTTGTGGGAGAATTTGGCCTTCAAGTCTGAAACAAAGCTGGTCTCATAGATTTCTGTGAGGCCAACCATCCATTTATTGTAAATACAGATGTCTGTACACAAGAACATCACCAGGAAGCCTATACAGAAATTAAATAGACTACATAACTGAAAGTAGAAAATGGAGAAGCTCCATTCTTGCTGCCAGAACAAGACCAGGAACAGATTATGGTAGCGATCATGGAGTTTTAATAGTAAAATAATCAAAGCAAAACCAAAAAAGAAGCAAGAGAAGCAGAGCACCAAATTATAACTTCAGTAACATTTCCTGAGGAACTTAAAGTTCACATAAAGATCAGATTTTTATTACTGCACTCAGTTGTACTTGAACCAGAAGAACTGGACTGAAACCAGAAGAATGCAAATACAAAAAACAAACTCTGCATGGATGACAGAACAAACACAGTTGCTAAGGTCTGGTGAGAAGCAAAGGCAAAAGGCAGGATCAGAATCCTGAATGCAACTTTTCAGTGACTATCACAGAGGGACAATAAGAACCATTACAATGGACAGTGAGGAGAGAGAGAGAAAACAGAGACCTTTTCCAAAAGATTCAAGAAATCAAAGGAAAATTCAAACCTAGATTAGGATTGCTAGATTAGGACCAACAGCGGAACATATTATCTGACCCTAAATATTATGTTGTGAGCCGCCCCGAGGCTACGGCAAGGGGCGGCATAGAAATGTTTTGATAGATAGATAGATAGATAGATAGATAGATAGAAAGAAAGAAAGAAAGAAAGAAAGAAAGAAAGAAAGAAAGAAAGA